CACTCTTACGACAAAAAAGTCTATTAACTGACAGTTGACTTCTCACTTCAAACTACCATGGCCCGACTATTTGTCATATTCGACACCTACCACAGTACTCATCTTACCTTTTTCTCTACCTTTGTGTCTGTCTGCCTCTTTTACATCTGAGAATCGCTCTTCTGATCCCCACCCCTCGACTTTCTGCTACTTTGATGAACCTTCCTTCTGTGAAGCCCTAAGTCAGCTAAATGGCTAATGATAGCTATCATAACGCCTGCCATTTGAATTAAATAAATATTTAATTTATCTCCACGATTCAAGGTCTAAAGACCCCCCCTCCCCAGTGTTTGTTAAACTGAAATGAAAAATGCACCCATTTAAGGAGTAATCGAAATCAATACATTTTTTAATGAAAAAATACATCATACGAGTTTGACAGAGAGCAAGAGAGAGAGAGAATTTTTTCTTCATATATACAAACACGATGGGAAACCCGTGGTGTTTACTAGCCGGATCTAGACAACTAGCATAGTGACAAGCCGACAAGGCGAATCTCGAGTATTTTGTTGCTTTGTCTTTTCCTTGTTAACAGCGGTCGGTGAGGTACTAGAGTTCGAGGTAGTGATACGCCTTCGGTGATCCCTGTCTAGAGACACAGTCTTAGGAAGGGGAGGTTCATGTGTGCCCATTTCCCGCCGCTTAGCACGATACTTCCGAACCAGACGTTTATTTCCATGGAATTGAGAGCCAGAATTGACAGGCGATGTAGTTGATTTGACCTTCAGTCGATACATCCCATCAGCTGGTAGGTTACTGGAGTCATTGGAATCTTCGTTTATGCAAACCAGAGTACTTTCATCATCGAATGAAGTCGCGGAGGAAATAGATGAGGAGGAATTAGAAAGCGGGCGTCTAGCATTTGAGATGGAACTCTTCTTTTTTGTTAGACACTTCTGATTCCGCTTCTTAATATTATCCAGAGCATTTAAGGAGGTATAACCGTCATCAGAATCTTGGTTTTGGAAGCCGGGATTCACATTAAATAAGCAAGGATCGGAGGTGATTTTCATGTAATCTTCCGAATTGATTCTACGAGATCCTGTTAATTTTAATAAATGTTGTTATTGCACGTCAATAATGAATAATATAATTAAATGGAACCTACCAAGTGTAGAGTCTTCGCAACCGGATGACGAAGAAGAGGTGGAATGAACAGAGAATTCTGGAACGTTTGGAGATAGTCGGGATTCAATTCCATTTTCACCAGGATCTGAGGGCTGTTGAACACCACGTGGATGGCTTTTTGTGCCCATTCTTGGAACTGAACGACGATTAGTCTGCGTTTGAGTGGGAATCTGTTGAACAGTCAAAGGAGAAGTACTCAGAATCGGAGTGAGTATAGCAGGTGACTTTCTGTTTGGAGTCTGATTGATTGATTTTGAACCTTCCATAGGTTGAGATTTTTTTCTTTGTGATATTATTACGGGATGATTATGAGTATTCCCAATTGTCAGAATTGTGGGTGAAGCCTTTCTTTGGGCTGCTTCTTCCTGTTCCGCGGTTGGAATGGGAGGTAATGGACGATTTGGTGGTGGCGGAGCCAATGAACGCTAAATATTTAAAATAAGATCTAATATTCGCCACTTTTAAATTCAAAGATTAACTTTAAGATTCATTAATAACAGTATTCAGAGGGGACAATATTTAAGAATATGCTCTTTGAAATATTTCGCAGTGAACTTACAACTTTAGAATTCATGTTCTTCGCGAGAGATAAATATAACCATATGAGCGCATTGCTGTAAGGACGTCAAATTTATAGTTATGTAGTAAGCCAATCCGAAGATGAGCATATGGAAACCTCTTGATTGGCTGTATTTGGCCAATTAGTGTATTGCGCGTATAGGCGTAGATTTTAGGTGCGTGTGTAAGATTGGCCAATTGCCATTAACCATTTTCTATTATTTCATTTATCCATTTTGTTGTTAAACTTGCATATATTTTAAATCTTTATTCTTCAGTATGTTTTTTATTTATTATTATTCAAATATTATGAACTTACACACTCAAGAATGATTTCGATTTCTGACTAAACCAAGTTTACTAACTCATTAGAACGAAAATAAACTGGTGAAGACTTGTTTCTTAAATTTAAAATTTAAGAGGATTTCCGATAAACTGGGCCACGAATTTAAAAGTGAGAGACATTTAATAATTTCAATAGTATTAATGCTTATTGTTTGCCTCGGTTAACCTGGTAATGCACATTTCTGTTTTTATTATGGCATACTTAAACCCTTATTGTTGGATTCAATTACACAAATTCAAATTGATAACAATAGAGTTTAAATATCCAGATATAGGCCAGTTTTACAAAAACACACTTTGCAATCTGTAATAACTGGCGCAGTAGAAGGTGGAAGCATTTGTTTAATGCCGCTAATTTATCTCTGTTTCCTCACATCTACATACCTTATCTGTGACCTTCAAGGTAGGCATTCCTGGTAAATACTTTCCAATTCAATACAAGGCATTAGTAACAATCGGCTCCAGTAGGCTGAATGTAAGCTAGATCGACTCATACCAAAATTTACAACTTCCATAATTAAATATTTATTTATTTATTTCAAATGCCAGCCATTTTGATAATTATCATTAGCCTTTTAGTTGACTTCGGGTTTCACAGAAGGGAGGAACGTTAAAGTGAGAAAAAATCGACGGGGGAAAAGAAGAGCGATTCACAGATGTAAAAGACAGACAGACGCGAAGGCAGAGAAAAGGCTAGATGAGTACTGTGGAAGGGGTCGAATATGACATACAATGGGGTCATGGTAGTTTGAAGTCGGAAGTCAACTGTCAGTTAATAGACTTTTTTTGTCGTATGAGTATACGTTGCCCAGGGTGCACTACGTGGAGGTAAGTCTATCGCACACCCCCTCCCCCCATAATTAACTATGAAAGCTAGCTAACCACCAGCTTGTTGGCACTATACCACTAACCAATAATATTTATACTAAAAGATTCTCCTATTGACCTTTTTAGCATTTTCCATGATTGAACCCCATTAGGTTAAGGTCGGTCTATCAAGAACTCACCTCTCATTTTGATAATAAGTGGTTTGTAAATCATACTAAAATGAGACATTCCGTTCCCACGAATACGATATTAAAAAGGAGCATTATTATAGCGGTCAATGTTTGGGCAATCATTAGCGCGGGATATAAGGAAAGGCGGAAAACGAAAATGTCCAATAATAATGCCATTTTCCATCTGTTCATCAGTCTACAGACTGATAGTCATTTAATTATGACAATATTTTTGTCTCATAAAAATTTTTATTG